GCTGTTTCCTCCAGTCTGCTTACTCCCGATCTTAAAAGGGTCATCGCACTTTAAGAACCCCGAGTTGGGTCCTTACATAAAGAAATTCTATCTTCTCTACTTGTTTACAATTTCCACTTTTTACAATGTCATCAATCATCTGTCACCCCAGCTTCCCCAGGCCAGTCTTCTTAGCAATATTAAAATAACAAACTCGTTTTGTTCAAACCGTGTCTGCTTAAAAATAAACAAACTTTTAAAATTAAAAGAAATCTCAATTCTTTCTCTCAGTCTGTCCATCGTTCTATTCTTTAACCCTTTTCGTCTTGTTCCAAACTTATATTTTTAACTTAACCTTTTTTTTTCTGTTTGTCATTGTCACATAGTGTGACATAATGAAGAAAGAGGGTTTGAAGAATTTGACACTCACGGAACAGACAGAAGCCACGAGTGACTGAGTAAACCTATGTCCATTATTTAAATTATTCGGACTATTGTCCTCATCTCTGTCGCGATATTTATTACAACGTTTCGGCGGTTGTACGCTCCGGCCTTCTTCAGGTGGTTGGAATGTCGAAGTGAATCCTTTATTTCACTCACTGGGGTAGACTGTTCTAGTTCCACGTGTCATGTATAATGGATATCAGTTATCAGTTATCTTCTGTTAATTCCCCTCTCCAAGTCCTCCACCGCCTTAACCAGGTATTGAACCCACTCACACATGGCACATGGTACTAGAACAGTCTACCTGAACTCTAACTAACGCCTTTATCCAGTGACAGGACCCAAAGAGTGTGAGTTCAATACCCAGTTAAGGCAGTGCAGAACTTTCAGAGGGAAATTAACAGGAGATAACTGATAACTGACACCCATAAAAAAAAACATGGCACGTGAAACTAGAACAGTCTACCGCAGTGAGCGAAATAAAGATTTCAGTTCGACATTCCAACCACCTGAAGAAGGCCGGAGTGTACAACGGCCGAAACGTCGTGATAAATATGGCGACATAGATGGGGGCAATAGTCCGAATAATGTAAATAATGTACATGATACCTCATCTCAGAAATATAGACAGAAACCGTCAGTCCCTCGTGACTTTAGTCTGAGATCTGTAATTAGACTTCAGTGAGTAATCTATCTGATGAGATATTATAAACGGATGGCAAAAGAAGGTGAGCGATAGTAAAACAGGAACATTGCTAAGATCTACAAATTATAGGAAGATATAGGTTTCACGATCAGCCACGCCCTGGAGGGACACGTGGAGGAAAAGATATAACAGCGTCCCTATAATCTTTTGTCTTTCTAGTTAAAATAACGTAAATTATATATTTCGCTATAACTCGATTGCCCAACAGATATAGATTAGTAAAAAGACCATTAAAAAGCCCATAAAATCGGAATATAAACATACCAGTAATCAATTTCTATGCATTTTCTGTGTTTAAGATATTGCCATTGTACGAAATTGGCGTGTCCTGATTTTGTAATGCCAACGAATACTCGTTGTCACTTTTGTAATGCTCGTTGTAGTAGAGACTTTGCAATGTATAATACGCCGTTGAACACTGCTGGTGTCAGACGCCTTCGAATAACGAAAAGTAATTACCGTATAGTGATCCGAGTGGTGATCAGTATAGAGAATAGTATAGTAAATAGAGTAAAGAATAGCGGTCCGTATAGTAATAGAGGATAGACTAGAAATAGAGATCATTTAGATGTCATGCGACTTCCTATTTATACGTTTCCTCTATGGTCACGTGGTCTACTTAATTCAACAATGCGATCGCCTGTGTTTGCTCACTGGCGATCTATATTCATATTCAAGTATCGGCACTTTATTCCGATATAACACCTGGGTATGATGATAAAGTACATCCGACAGAAAAAAAAAACACGGATCGGGAAGTTTTGAGGAGCATGTAACCGCCCTTTAACTGTCTTTGTTCCCAGGTTCATCCTTACCCGGGGTGGTAGCACCTGTTAGGGTTCTAGCTATGGGCAAATAGTTAACTCCTAACTTGGGGTGAAAACACTATAAAAGTGTCGAAATAAAGTTTTGTAGTGAAGGTGCCCGCAATACATTTTCATAGTAAAAAAATTACCAGCAATGCATTCTTGAAAAAAAAATACTAGCAGTTTAAATTTTTAAAGGAAATTATTAAATGCTCTCAAGAAATTAAATGATCCAGAAGGAGTTGACATGCCGTTAAACAAAACAGACAATCGAACTTGCTTCATCGATTCAAATTTTCGTGCCAATAACCCTGTAATATAGTAATAACTTTAAAAACAACCCCCATAAAAAACGTTTATTTTTATTGTGATAATTCAGCTTTAATGCTAAAAAAACACCCCCCCCCCATAAAAATTTATCATAGGAGATTAGGAAACTGAACATAGAATAGGCCGCGGTAGGTGTAGTTTCATACCACGGCAAGATGCTAAAAATCAATATTTTGACCCTTTCAACCCCATGCAAAGTCGATAAAGCTACTAAGACGAAAGTGGTTACTGGGTGTGGAAGAGAATGCGAGGACTTTAGCGAGGAGAAAGGACAATAAAAGAACAGACACCAGGAAGATAGAATATTGCGAATGACTTTGACTTTAAATTTTTGAAGATTGTAGTTATCGTGGAAGCAAGAAATCTGAAGGGAATCCCAGATGCGAGAAGTGCAAGAGAAGAAACCGCAAATTGATCCAAAAACAAAACATAAACTCGAATGATATTATTAAAAAGTGTACACCCAGACCAGGTTAAAAATAGTCCATCACCGGCCACCGTTGTGCTGGCATTGGTATTACTACCGACCCCACTTGCAGCTGTTCTCCGGGACCGGACACCTCTCAATATTTTCTTTTACTGTTGCACGCTGCATAAGACAGACGCAACTGAGTTGCGCTCTTTCTGAAGACAGAAACACAATTGAAGGATAAAATCTAGTTTGCTTTCCCCAAGGCAGATACTACACTTTGATCCCATCCCGTTGACCAGGGAGTGAAGAAAAGCTTAACTCCTGTAGCGTTGGTTGTTCGGTCAATGAATACCGAATGTTTCCACAAGAAAACAACTGCTATTACTAATACATTCACATTAAAGATTATCAGCAGAATTCTATACTTCTGAGACAATCCTTTATTGTTCCAAGCGATGTTCGGATTATTTATTATGTTGTGGATTCCTTCTATTTGCACATATATTTCTTTTCCTGTCTAAGCCTAAAAGCTTTTCAACAAACAGAACATACATTAACCAAAGCAGATGATTTTATTTGATTTGTTTGTTGGACGGTAAATCAACTCCTTATGGGTCATTTAATGACAAAATCTAATTTTCTAAGCAACTTTGAAGTAATAAAAATATGATACATGTTATTCTGCTTTCACAATTGTACACATGGTAGACGATACACAGCTTTTGTGTATATACATCTTTGTGTGTACATAATTACGTTACCCTACTTGGTTTCAGTGAGAAAACGAATGAAAAATAGAAAGAAAGAAAGGAATCTAGAAATGTTTAACGGCTGTTCCACAGAAATGGGAAAAAGTTGTCAATTTCAAATCAACTTTTTAAAATAACCCACTTTATTATTTATCGGGTATTGGCAGGACGTAAATGGTCGTGCTCACCAGCGAAGAGAGGAACATGCACAATTATATAATAATAATGTAAAATATGTGTGATCTTGGGTTGTTTTTTTTTTCTCACTCAATAAATACTCTTGATGCCATCGCTTAACTTAGGTCTCTGGTGGGGACCCGGAAAGAAATGAGTATACACCAGAAATCAAAGAAAAAAATAATAATAAAGGAGTAGTGTCCAAATTTGGGAGTTGATAGGTAAACATTGGTCGAGTTTCGACTTTAGTCGGAGGTAAACATTAGCTGCGTTTACACTTGAATCCATGTGTAATCTCGTTGCTTTTGGGAGGAATAATACCTCCTTGCAATTCAGTCATTCATCGTCTTCTAGGTCTCGTCAATCGGACAGTTTGAGATAGTTGTTGCACGTCAAACGTAGAGTTTGGAAAGATAATCCTGAAAATTATCTTCTTGTCGTCTCCTCTCACTGATGGGAGGCTAAATGAAAACCAAGAGGAGAAAGAAAAGGGGACCCTATGAATTTGGGCAAAGCAGCCAGAGAACCAAGAAAGGGTACAGTGAATAAAAGCGCAGCATTCACTCGCACTGATTTTTTATTTCCAAGTGGCTTCTTTGTTGAACGTCGGCCTTCCTCAGACCTCGTCAACTTTGATTTTCATATAGTAGTCTTAACCTTCGCGGTAGGTAAAGTAGTTGGGTCTTAGTTTTAAATCTGCTGACTCAACGGTGTTGGAATTGTGGTTTCGTACCATGGGAAGGAAAGGGACATTACCATAAGTCGGTTCAATGCGTGCTGGTAGAGACGGAGGTGGCAATCTGTTCTGATATTTAACACATCTACAGTCACTTTCTCACAGACGCGCCGTCGCCTCCCTCTGTCTGTTCTACAAATACTTCCATGGAAATTGCTCCGAGGAGCTGCATTCGCTGGTTTCCAGACGTCACGAGTTCCAGCGCCTCACGAGGCTGGCATCCCGCTCTCACCCCTTCACTGTCGAAACTCCTAAATATAGCCGCCTCTTCTACTCTAATAGCTTCATGTTTCGCACCTCTCGCCTGTGGAACTCCCTTCCCTTTTCCTGTTTCCCTGTGTGCTATAATCTCAATCGACATCTCCAGTTGCCTTGATCTATCCACTACCCTCATCCTTTCTTCTATCACTCCTATCTGATCTTGCTCTAAATTTTCTGTAACCCCTTTCGTCCTAGTGGCTTCCCGCCTTGCTTGGGGTAAAATGCTTAAAAACAAAACAAAACAAAAACAAAAACAAAAAACACATAGCTGGGGGAGTGATAGTCAAAATTTTCCCAAGAGTATTTGCGCGAAAGTAAACAATGAACTCGACTAGAATTCAAACCCCCCCCCCGATTTTCAACTCTGAGGCGTCATTCATTACACCACACTCACATACAAGCTTGCAGCACGTGATATTCCCAAGCGGTTATCCAACCAGTTACTCACCAAGTTCAGTGTTGCTTAACTTCAGTGATCGAACGCGTACTGACATTTCAATGTGATATGGCCGTAAAAAACCCCAAAAAGACAAAAAAAAAAAAATACGGAACAAAGATATAAAACATGAAGCCTCGCTTTCAGTAGATACAAAACAATAATAATAATAATAATGTTATAGTGGAACACACCTATTCTCTCCCACCTATAATAAGTAGGAGTTGCTAAGTCGTTCAGTGAGTTGGTCAGTCAGTCGACTGGCTGATCGGTTGAACTCTCTGCCTTTGGGCGGGGAGGAACCCGAAAGAGGCTACGCCGAAGGGCGGATTCTCTTTCGGGGAGGTTTATACGGGTTCAATGGGCATATTTTTGGCCGAGCCCATGGACTCGGAGATCCCACGTTAAACCAGCCTTGTGCCACATGATGCCCTCGGGGTGGGGTGAATAAATATCGTTGATCAGTCAGTCAACTGGCTGATCTGTTGAACTTAATGCCTTCGGGCGGGGAGGAACCCGAAAGAGGCTACGCCGAAGGGCGGATTCTCTTTCGGGGAAGTAAACCGACCCTGAACACGTTTATACGGCTTCAATGGGCATATTTTTGGCCGAGCCCACGGGCTGGGAGATCCCACATTAAACCGGCCTTGTGCCACATGATGCCCTCGTGGGAGCGGTGACTAAATATTATTGGTCAGACAGTCGATGCCGGACGACCGTTAGTCGAATACTAAAGTATCAGCGACCACAACTAGATTACTCTGCGTTATACTTATTATATCAAGTTCCTAACGTTTTGTACATCGAATCTATTTTAGGACCGACTTAGTATAAATACAAGATTCCACTGTGAAACTACTCCATAACAAATAATAATAATAATAATTAGGCCAATATCTGCACTAGAAAATCTGCAACTTTTACAGGAAGGAAACTGCAAGAAACTGGTATATGCACCTCCCAAACCCAGTTACAGAGATAGGACCTGTAACAATTGTATGGGACAATGCACATAGACAGATCAATCAAATCTAATCGCCAAGACATTGTGATCAAAGACCACAAAAACAGAATGTGCTTTCTTATTGACATGGACTCGAAGCGACGGAGATGTGGTTCTACAGAAGGATGCTAAGGATATCATGAACCGAGCGTGTGAGCAACGATGGGGTCTTAGAATGCAAACAAGGAGGAGGATTATACTTAACATCAGAAAGAGGCAGCTAAAGTTTCTGGCACACATAATGAGGAAGGAAGACCTGGAGAATCTGATACTCATGGGTCGAATACTTATGTGAAAGAGAGACAAGGGAAAGCAGAGCATGACATACGTGGCGAGCTTGAGCAGGTGGATGACAGAACGTGGTCTGGGGGAGGAAGCAGAGGGAAGGGACTTTTTGAGAGCTGCATGGGATAGAGGGAGGTGGAGAACCATGATCGCCTACGTCCTGAAAGGACATGGCGCATAAAAAGAAAAAATGTCCTTACAGATTGTAATGTATATTTGAAGATATATTTTTTTTATTTTAAATAACCTGTATAGTGTTGATAAGCTTTAGAAACAACTCAATCTGCGATGTTATTGGTCCTGACCTGACATCTCGCCGTAATGTAGCTTCTCTGTGCCTTTCGTGGTTATTATTCTGATGGTGTTTAGTCCATGGTATCTTGACTTTATAAATTTAAGCGCAATACAAGATTGGCGGAAAATTCTCATCATCTTACAGTAGAAAGTGCTAGATATAATCGTACGTTTCTTCCCGTGTACTTCTCGCTTGTGATGCTCTCTTCCTGCTTCTTGCTTCCCAGCCTATTTTTATCTTCAAAAATACTATTATCCTTAAGAGTATTTTCCTCATAACACTCAGTAACCCCCTTGCGTCTTAGCGGCTTTATCACCTTGCTTGGTGTGAAATGATCAAAAAGAAGCCAACAAAAAAGATAAAAAAATACAGAGTGGGATTTCTAGCTTTAATCTAAGAGAAGGAAAAGTCTTGTATCACTAAAACCTTTATTAGCTCCAAAAATAATTCTTTCAATCTGAAAATATTTTCTGGCTTTAAATAAACTGCAAAGGGTTGATAAGCCGTAGAAAATGAATGAATCAATCGTAGTTCAATCTTGTTGATTGAATCACGTGGTAAGGCAAAATATCGAAAAAAAATATGAAGGACTTTCATTACGGAATGCCGTAAATCCCTCTCAAGTTAATTACCACGAGAATATCCTGGCAAGTTCTTGATTTTATTCTTAACAATAAACTGTTAAGTTATTGATAAAATCGTCGCCGGCTTTTCTCCCAGTCTCCCAGCACGGCCTTTCTTTTTCCTGTCCCAGGCAATTAGAAAGTCTTTGAGACAGCGTCCACGTCCTACTGGCTTGCTGCCAGAAAGAATTAGAATTTATTTTGCGAATAAATTCCGGGTGTTTGTTTTTGCTATACATCATTGGGTGTGCCGGAAGGTAAGGGAAGGGGTAATCAAGAATGATAAATCTCGAAGCGAAAAAGCCAAAGCTTAAGTGGCCTGGCGAACTGTCGAAGCATTAAAAATTAAATCTGTTCATAATTTATTTTTCACTACCTTCTTCGGATTCTTCCTTAAACTGCTATTCAGAATATTGATTAAAACTGTATGTATAAAAGAAAAGAGGGCAACATTTTATGCCAGTGCGTTTTCGTCCGTTTATCAGGTCAAGTATAGACATTTTATTCAGTAACCAGTATTTCTACACAGAAGTAACATGGTGGAAAATAACGTTAATGTTTGAAATTTTGAATTAGAGAACGCTCTAAAATATTTTAACAGTTTACAGCCACAACACGTTGAAACATCGGTTCCCGTATGATCATCGAAGTTAAGCAAAATAGAGCCTGGTCAGTATCTAGGTGGGTGAATGCTGCAAGATTGGATGTGCAGGTGGTGTAAAGAATAAGAACTAGGAACGGTTAATTGGAGAGCCGAGTTCAAATTCCAGCTGGGTTTACGTTCATTTACGCGCAAATACCCTTGGGATTGATATGAATTCACCTCGTCTCCATTTATTATCTCCCGCAAAATTCTCACAATCTACAAACTTTTTCTGGCTTTAAATAACCATCATAGGAGTGATAAGCCGTAAAAAAGAATAAATCAAAATATTCTAACAACATACGGTGTGGCATGGTGCAGAGTCATGTTGCCAGACATAGATTCTTCCAGCAGCCACCCTATTGACTCAGGGTAACACTACCTCTTCAAGGCACTTGATGTAGGCCTCCGTGTTGAGTCTGATGCCCTGTGGGAAGATGGAGGGAGGTATAACGTCACCATCACTTGTGATCACTCTAAACATCTTCGTAATCACCATTAGACTCACCCAACTCTGCCGAATCCTCTGCACTCTCCTCAGATTGACACCGAAACACTCTTAAATGTCCGTATTGGAGCTTCAGGCGCGAATGCCAAGCAGTACAGCATGCCGTTTCCAAATTTCCGGCGCAGTGAATTGCGTTATGGCATTATTTTTCTTACAGACGGTGCCCAACTATACCGTGCAGGCGACAAAATGAAAAACAAAAAACGCGCATGCGCGAAATTAAAAATATAAAATGGCGACAATTTACCCATCGCACCCTATATATATGTGTGTGTGTGTGTGTGTGTGTGTATAAACTAATTAGTGTCATTGCATTCAATTTTTCGCAAACAATCATGGGAGAGGTATGAATGTAACTTTCATACCTACAGATATTGTTTAAATAGTTGCGCAAATTAAGGGCTCTAGCATGATTATTTTTTTAGCAATCAATCTAGATAAGAAAAACTTTGAATTTCAAACCTTGGGGTACTGGTTGGTGACCTCGAGGCACGATTTATGCACCACTTATCTGTCTTCTGTTATTTCGTAATAAACGTTTATGGTTCCGTATATAACCGTTCACCACTATAATCGAGTCCTATATACACCCACCACAAGATCTAAGATCTACTCAAGAGTTTCTGAAAGAGGACGAGGGGGTAAAAATGACACATTACAAGGTTATGGTAGGATAGATAACGGTTGTAAATAAAGTTACAAGGTTAAAATTGTCATGGTCGGGGGAGCATCATCTCGGGAGTGTATTTCCAAAATGGGGGAGTGATAGTCAAAAATCGGGAAGAAGTTGTCCGAACGGAACTAGAATACAAAGGGAGTGATAAATGTCGACTCAGTGTGGGACGTCTGACCTGGTGGAAATAATCTAGCTCATCGGAACATTTACCATGGAAATAGAGTAAAAGGCGCAGACACTCGTATCCAAGAATACCAGTCTTATCTAATCCCTAGGCGCCTTACCAGGCACATATGTATTTTTCCAACATCTAAAGAGCTCACCTGTGGTTTATACTGCAGCTTTGCCGAGCGAAGTTTCTAGGAGAAAATGTGTTATCTAGCGTGATCAACAATCTGAACATAGCCAGCACACTCATCCCTCGGTCACGATGTCTTGTGACTTCGTGCTAGCACAACCAGCGTCGGCTGCCAAGGGTTCCCAATTTCACTCACAAGCTTTGGGTCAACACGTGGTATGGCTTCCAGGCACTTTCTAAAGGGGCCGTACACTGAAATCGCCTCTTCCAGTGCGATAACATCAAGAAGTCTCCTTCCTGACAAATTGACCATGGTGAGATTTGAACTCGGGTCTCATGGTCAGAATGCAAACGTTCTAACCACTCGGCCACGCGATAGAGTAGAGGGAGGCTTTCGAATTTTCATCTGTAGGACAGCTGCTATAGAGTAGAAAATAATTAATCACCCATAAAGCCGAGTTGACGTTTTTGAACTCTATCGAGGTTGAAAAGCGAGGATTGAGTAGCTCCAGCCCAGACAGAGTAGCACTACTCCATAATGTGCGGCGTGGTATAATGGTTAACGGCTCAGAATAAAAAATCGGAGATCCGGGTTCGAATTCCAGTCGGATTCCTTGAATTCACTTAGCAGAAAATATCCTTGGGAAAGGCTTGAGTCCACCACTTCTACTCCAGCTATGAGATGAATAGCAGGACAGACTGGGTTTTATAGCCTCTCCACTACAATAAATGAAGAAATGTCTACAC